AAAGATTTATATGAATTTTTTATTATTAGTCAAAGCATATTCATGTTTTCGAACACATTTATTACATAGAGTACAAGTTTCAGGTCATTCAAGATAGAGCAAAAGAGCACCTAAAAAGTTCATTAATCGATTCGTGTTAAAGAACTGGATTATTTTTTCATCATCTTTAATATTCATATTCCACATCGAGATTGACTTATCAATTAGATCATCACATACTTAACAAAATGATAATGAATCATTTCCAACATCCCTTTCGTTGTACACAATACATTTATTTGATGGATTCATTCTTAACTGTTTTTTACCAAAACAAAGGTGTATGTAATGGCACAGTAGATTTTCTATTTGTTGAATAAGAATAACATAGGAAAATACAATAAAACAACAGTATATATAGCAACAGAAGGCAAGAAAGCAATATGTAGGAAAAAAAATGAAGTACATCATGTAAATTTTCATTAACCCTTTGTGAATGGGATTGTTTTTGATAGAAATCAAAATTTTTCAAATTTGAAATTTTCTTTGTAATATGATGAAATATATTATTCAAAATAATATTTCTCAATGAATTTGACATGACTTGGACTATTTCTTTAACCTTTCTTGAAAAGTGCCTTCAATATGCTTCATATTGAAATTTATGAAATTCTACTTTGATTGGTTTCAGTTAGTAATGGGCATGTCTTGTCGCAGTTACTCTGTTTATCGAAGTTATTTGTAGGAAGCTGAATTCTAAAATAATTGATTATTTCAATGATATTACTACATTTAATAACTAAAATTAATTTTTCTGCTAAACAATTGATAGTTATTTGATCAAAATATCAACAATTTACAAGCAATTCAGAAAAAGAAGAAAGTTGATATGTACAAGATAAAGAATGCAATATGCAGTAGAGAAGTAACGATGACGGTGGTTCAGCATTCAATCGTACCACCGATGCACTACTCTGAACGTACTAAGTTAGCTGCAATGGTCTGTCAGTAAGTTGTTAAAACCGGTCTAATCATTGAGCATGGAAGGGTGAGTTCAATGATTAAGATAATAAGTGCATGCAGAGTACAACGAAAAACTATGCTAATATAAAACTATTTGATCAAGTTTTATAAAATACCATTATTTTTTGGAAACAGCTCTTCTCTGACGAGAAAAACAAACTCACAAATTTTGAGAAACCACTTATAGATTCGGATTTCTCAGATCTGAAAGTCCTTATTCAAGTTATACGAAAAAACTTTTATTTTCATACAATAGACACTTCTTGATGAAAAGACATGTTCAACTGCAACTACAATATCTCTAGGATCAATGTTACTTGGAAATGGATCAGTGTATCGCTACTTTTGTATTCCTAGAATGAAATAAGCATATTATATATTAAGATTTTGAGTAAGTGTGGAACATTTTTTGTGCATATACATCTATTCATACTACTACTGAAAATAGTCTTCTTATTATAATTCCGTTATTAGACAGTTACAGTTGTATAATATGTTTCAATTTTATAATTAGATTATAAATCTGGTCTCTGCATGATTAATATTTGATTCATAAATAGTCACGTACTTTATAGTAACTGCTAGTTTATACATGAATTTCTAATTATAGAACACTAATGCATTCGTTCATTTCTCTACTATTCAACTTTTCGTTTTCCTAAACGGAGTAGAAATGAATAAAAAGATAACAAAATGTATTGTCTCAGTTTTTTCAAAATAGCTTGTAAATTGTTGGTTTTTGATCAAATAAGTGTCGTTTGTTTGGCAGAAAAACTACCTTTAGCTATTAAGTATAATAATGTTATTCAAATAATCAATTATTTTAGTATTCAGCTTCTCACAAACAACTTCGATACAATGACAGTTACCGTCAGTTCCAAAAGTAATTGTTTCGCGTGTTTCATGAAATGTGAACAAAATCGTATGTGCTAAGGATACACTATAATTTCAACTTTCACCGTAACATATGCATTAACTTATTCGATACGACATGAAACTCTCATAGATGGCTCACTCTCAATCAATTACAATTCTTCTTTATAACAAAGCTTTTGAACAAATAGTACTTATTTAACTCTATCATATCTATATAATTCTTACATAGCTATTTAAACTCTTCATAGATATTTAAATATTTGTCAGCTTTATATTCATATTGAATATATATATTCATCGATATCTATTGAATCTGCAACCCTTTTTAAGATTTAAGTGTTGATTATTTATTAAAGGTTATTCATCGTTTTCGATTAAAAGGATGGGTAAGTGACATTTAATTTATCATGAGTATTTTAAATAGCTACTGACTTAGTAGCTATGTTCAGCGCATGAACTATGGTCATATTATGAGCTATTATAAACGTGTGTGTCATTATTAATGTGAGGAAGGCGTAATTTGAAAAATATGACTTACTACTGAGTAAAGTACTATAACAAAAAACATTCTTAATTTTCGCTGAGAGTTAAATTTTTATTTCTACTTGTCTACGATTAATAATTGTGATAATCAAGAAATGATTAAAGGAAGACACAGTGAGCTATACATACAAATAAGGTTACAATTAAAGATAACAGATGAAAAGATAACACAATAACAATTTTATAAAAATATAATAATTCGATTCCAATTAATATATTTAACAGTTCCTGTTATAACGGCTACGGCTGAAAGATGCTTCAGTGTTATGAATAAAGACATAATTACGATCAACAATCGTACAACAACGGTTTAATCATGTCGTTATTCCTCATATTGATAAAGAGAAAATAGATCAGTTAGATTTGAATAGCATTTGTTCAGATTTTATTTAAAAAAAACAGAGTCAAAAGGTATTTTTTGAGCGTGAATGATAGTTTTTGTACTCACGACTTTTTTATTTCCTTTAGTCTAGGTTTAAGGTTTTCTATGCTTATGTTGATAATTGAATAAAGATTTCGATACTACAGTAGAAATTTTGATTATTCTACACTGAAAAAAAGTGCCATACGGAATCCTAAACGTTTCCGACTTTTAGAACAAAATCGAAACCCTTTAAGGTTCCATACAGATTCCTTTTTTTTCATTTCGCAAAGAAGAATGGCTCCACAGTATGACTTTTTCACTAGATTCAATATGTTACTAATAGGCACATGCACTGCAAAACGATAAGGTGTCATATCGAACCATTTTTTCTCGAAAATCTAAACCCTAAAAAAGGTTCTGTAAAAAAACTAACATGCCTCAAAATGATTGTGAGTAGTCGGAAAAGCATATTCAAAGCTTTCATAACTTTTCCTACGAAACCTAAAACGGTTTAGAATTTGTTTTAGAAACCGGAACCTTTCTAGATTTTGTAACGTTCTCAAAAACTTTTCAGGTTTCTCAACATTCTCAATAACTATTTTAGGTTTCGTAGAAATCACGAAACCCTCAAATGATTCTGTATCGTACCATTTTTTTCTCAGTGTACGGGCATGCAAATGGATGGATGCAGATAATCTTCTTGATGAACGTTATGACGACAAAATTTCAAATTCGCTCCCTCTTACTGTCATCTTTCTATCTTTATGTTAAAAAATTTTGAGCCTCCCCAAAATTAGAAGCGTTCCGCCACCTATAATTAAATGCATGCTTATTTTTATTGTATATATCTCTAGTTTGTTTTTCCAATATTTTATGCACAAAATGTGCACCATTAGTTGTATATATCTTTAATTTTTTTCTAATAATTTTTCAATAATCTTTATTGTTAAATAATTATATATTTATTAGCAAAAAATTTAGTTTTGATGGTACATTCAGCAGCAAGATATCCAATTAGTAAATTATTTATGGATAAGTGTATTAAAAATAACTTCGACAAAATTCTTTGTCGAGGTTGTAACTTCGATGAGTGTCGTCATCGAAGTTATAACTTCGTCACATTTGTACGACGAAGTTGTAACTTCGTCCATATTGAACGATGAAGTTATAACTTCGTCAAAATTGTTGACGAAGTTATAACTTCGTCGACCGGTGTAACTTCGATACGACATATATATATTGTCATAATTTCCGAAAACGACATTCGATAATACGATTGACTTTCGACTATCACAACAGTGCTGAACAATGAAATCTGATTGGCAAATTATGATAGCTACCACTTTGAGTATGTTGATAACATTAACAACTAATTGCATTTTGGAACAAATGAGAGCAAATCATTCAATCGTACAACATATCAAAGATCTAATACATGCTTATATACTAACTATGAGTTGTTCTATTCAAGATCGACCTAGTACGTATTTTTTTAAATATAAATTCTGTTATAATCACCGATGTCATATAGATTGCACGGTGTGCAATCATCTCCAGTTGACTAATGACAATAATGGTTATGAAGTAGAGGTGCTCATAATTACTTTTATTGTGATCATCTTAGTGCTATTATGCTATGGTAAGCAAGCGTTGAATTATATTCGTATGATAATCTACACGATCTTGTTTGTCTGGCTTTGGGCTCGTTATTGTAATAATAAAAATTGTTGGTATCAATTAGATATACTCACGGTTTATTTTCTTGTTTGGCAATTTATTTATCTTATGTGTAAATGGGAATTTTATGAACTTTCATGGCCTCTTTTAATTCTTCAACAAGCATCAGGTTGTGTATCTACTTCTGTTACAATATTTTTCTCTTATGACATTGCTTATCGTTATATACCATTTCAATTCAAAATTGGCTTTCTGTGGCTATTTTCATTATATGACATGTAAGTGCAATAAAAAGTCATTTTACTATATAATCTTTGAAAATTAAATTAAATAAAAAAATTGAATCTTGTCGTATTTTTTCACACTGTAGTTCTGTAATTTTCTAGTGTTGCATGTCTTTACATT